TTCTAAGTCAATATACTGCAGTATTTCCTCTCTCAATCAGTAGAAAATATGGTTAACACCCGGTCATGCATGAAAAAAAAAATACCGTCATGTACCGTGAAACGGGTATAATTTTGAAAAAGACCGTGATATAAATTTTTGGTCATACCGCCCAGCACTAGTATATATTAACATATTTTTGTATACATGTTTTACTAATTTTGTAGAATTTTATTTTATGTAATTATATAAAACTATTATATATTATAATGTATTATGTATTGTTATCTATATTTTATATTGAATATATATATATATATTAGTGCTGTCAATCGATTAAAAAAATTAACTAATTAATCGCACATTTTTCTCAAATTAATTGCAATTAATCCCACCTAAATTAAAGTTTTTAAATATACTTTTATATTGCAATAATTTCACATTCAATCTTCAAATTAATGTACAAACAACATAAAGACAGTATTGATATTGAAGTTATCAAACACTAAATTCTAAATTAAATATAGATGAATCCTTAAAGTTATTTTTTCCTCTTTTTTTTCCTTTGATTAATAGACAACACAGCAGCTGGTTATTAGGCTGTTTTGGCTGTTATTTCTTTAAGAGCTGCCGCTGCTGAACGTGACGCGGATCTGACACGCATATTTCTGAAATTAATCGTGATTAATCCCACCTAACATTAATTTAACATTTTATAATATACTTTTATATTGCAATAATTTCACATTCAATATTCAAATTAATGTACAAACAACATAAAGACAGTATATATTTTTAATATTGTTTAATGGCATATTTTTTATGACTGAAGGCCAATATCAATGATACCAATACTGATTTCTCTATAAAATTGAATTTTATATTCAACTGCAGCTCAGTTTCAGGGTCTTGGCAATCTTCTTATAGCCTACACCAGCTTTATGTAGAGCAACAATTCTTTTTTTCAGATCCTCAGAGAGTTCTTTGCCATGAGGTGCCATGTTGAACTTCCAGTGACCAGTATGAGAGAGTGAGAGAGATAACACCAAATTTAACACACCTGCTCCCCATTCACACCTGAGACCTTGTAACACTAATGAGTCACATGACACCGGGTAGAGAAAATGGCTAATTGGCCCCAATTTGGAAATTTTCACTTAGGGGTTTAGTAAATTATAGCGAATAAACTGTGATAATGTGTGAAATATTGAAGGTGTCTGAATAAATTTTGGTTTGACTGTATATATGATTTTTTTTCTCCATTTTTTTCTAATGGTTAAACTTTTTAAAAACGAATCTCAAGATCAGTGCTCTATTCCATTCATTTTGAGAAGGATCTTGTCAGTTTTATGTTCATTGTGCGTTGGATGCTTCATGAGCGATCCGTGGGCATGCTGTCTTCAGCCGTGTGTCCAGGAAACTTAACACCCCCGAGAGCCAAAGCAGGCGAGGTGTTAATTAGCTCAGGGCTGAGTGCTAACTAGAATCTTCTGTGTAACCCAAAGCCCATGTGTTGTGTCCCCAGGCCTGGGGGGCGTGTCCCTGCAGTCGCATCCCATCCACAAGCTCCGGCAACATCGGCCCCTTGGACGCACACAGTCGGCCCCCCTGCCCCAGAACGCCCAGGCACTGCAGCAGCTGGTGGTTCAACAGCAGCACCAGCAGTTTCTGGAAAAACACAAGCAACAGTTCCAACAGCAGCAGCTTCACATCAGCAAGGTACAGCACTCTGTCTGTCTTTAGCTCCCTTAATCACCATGGCAACCAACAGGATGTGTGGTCCTTATATGGTCAGACCGGAAACTCTCTGCTTGTTTGCGCGTGTGTGTGTGTGTGTGTGTGTGCGTGTGTGTGTGTGTGTGCGCGTGGGACTGCAGTCATGAGCAGACCCAGACTGAATCTTTGGATAGAATCACAATTAAACGGGGTTCGACAGAAACAAATTTGTCTGCTGGTACCATCTCAAAAGACTGATCAATTTTAATTTCATGTATTTATATATTTTTTAAGTTTTAGAAATAACATTTTCTTGACCGTTTTTTCCCTTCACATTGTTTTCTTTGCAAAAAAAAAGTTTTTTAAATGTTTAATTAAAAATTGTATATTTAATTCATAAAATATATACAGTTCAAAAGGGTCGGTAAGATTTTTTGAAAGAAGTCTCTTATTCTCACCAAGGCTGCATTTATTTGATACAAAATACAGTAAAACCAATAATATTGTGAAATATTATTACAATTTAAAATAACTGTTTTCTATGTGATTATATTTTAAGATGTAATTTATTCTTGTGATGCTAAATCTGAATTTTCAGCATCATTACTCCAGTCTTCGGTGTCACATGATCCTGCAGAAATCACTGCTGATCAACATGCTGATTTAGTTTTCTATCATTATTATTATTAATATATATAATAATAATAATGTTAAAAACTGTTGTGAAGTTGATTTGATGAATAGAAATTTTAAAAGAATAGTATTAATTTTTTGGTATTTTTTTATTTTTATTTACTTTTTTTGTTTGTTTTATTCAGTGATGAGTAGTTCATTCTTTCATAAACTAAATTAAACCTGGCATTCTATTGTGTATTTTCATATACATTTTTTCCATAAACTTTTTTTTTTTTTAAATCCCTATGGAGAAAATGAATGACAAAAATACTTGCTGTGCTCCATAACCGCCCCATTTATTCCTCCTCGTGTTTGCTCATGGAGTGTGTGGTGAGGTCTATGGAGATTACTAGTGTTGGGCCATTATCCTACAGGGTCTTTGGTTTGTTTCTAATGCCTGTGCTCTCCCCCCACTTACCACCACAATTGTGCATTATAGATTAGTTATGGGGTTAATCCATGCCTGCACACAAACATGTCAGAATGAGCTCACTGGGTGTGGATCACCTCAGCGCTACACTCTGGGCTTACGGGAATACTGCCTCTGCTCAGCAGATGTCAGAGGAATTTAATGCTTCCCAAGCATTTACGCTGTTTAGATATGACTCCATTCCTGTGTTTTTAAAGTTCACAGGGGAGATATGGGATGACACATGTGAATCAGTGCATGTGGTTTTCTACATATCTGTGGACTTACTTTGTGCTTTTTATACAATGTATCTTGGAAAAAATCTGCAAAATGAATCATATGGGTCAAAATGGGTCATAATTCTGTCACTTGTTCCAAACCTGTATGAATTTCTTTCAGCTGTTGAACACAAAAGAAGATATTTTGAAGAATGTTGGTAACCAAG